AATATATTAATTTAGTTTTATTTCATGGGGACATTTATGTATTTGAAGGGATATTTATTAACACTTTAATTGTTTTATTTTTATTTATTTATTGTATTTTGAATGAAACGGCTCTCCATAATGGTGAGAGGGTGACAGACAAAAGAGACACTATTTATTTCACTAATAACATAGTAGGCACGGCTGGTCTATCAGGTCACCACACAAACTAGTTCCTCTATATAAACAACGTAATTTGCTTATTTGCAATGTATTGTTTTGTTCGGTGTTTCCAACTATTTAGAATATTTTGAATAGAATGAGTTTTAGTGATTCCTGTTTTACAGTCATGGGGCGGTACAGACCAACGCCAAGTGTTTGTCAGTGGATTTATCACATTAATAATAAATTATTATTATGAATGTATTGCCTGTCTGCAGTAATCACYATCAGAGGTGGGACCAAGTCATTATTTTTCTAGTCTCAAGTAAGTTTCGAGACAGGTAACTATCAAGTCCCAAGTTTGAAACTAAAAATTTCAAGTTCTTTCAAGTCTTTTTGTTTTTAGTAAATTCTGCAGATATGTTAAATGTAAGTAATAGACCATGTGCTCTTTTTAAAATGTATTTATCTCAAATTGGGATGAAACATGCAGCACTTATGAAGTATTTAAAAATTCATTTTACAATTGCATCTCTGCACAGTTCAAATAAACTTAGCYGCAGAAATGTCTTCCTTTTAAACTATAATTTTGCCGTTTTAAAAAGCAAGTTAATTTGATTTGCTGTGCTGATGCTCACGCACACATATGTACAGAGTGTAAAACAAGATGGACAGTCTGCATTTGTTAATACAGAATGCGTGAAATTAATTAATAGGGCCCACTTCTTAAATAATGGTTTTTAAATTTGAGGTTTTTGGTAAAACATCAAGTCTTTTCAAGCAAACAGGATCAAGTCCAATTCAAGTTTCAAATCATCGGTGTAAATTCCTTATCAAGTCACAAGTCTCTGAACATTTTTTCAAGTCTGAAGTCATTATCTTATTGACTCGAGTCCTCACCTCTGATCGGTACAGCTTTTCTGAATAAACTCATTGGGGTGTTAGAAATTACATATTTGGAGCAGACAGAACCAAACTGAGTGAAGCTTAATATGCAATAAMATAATAATCTAATGCAACATACCACTCTATAGCTCACAGTAGGTCCAAAAACAATTTATTGATAAAAAGGGGTCCAGACAACTGCAGGTGGTGTTCAGTATACACTGAGGGAGTTCATGCTTGTATTTAGTGCTGTTTGATCACAGTCCAATATGTAAAGAAAGCACCAGATGTGAACAGTTTGCCGCAGTGAGTGAACTTTTCTTTGTGCTCCTCAGCAGATTCAGAGAAGGAAGGTTGGTGTAGACAACATGAGTCTGGAGCCCTGAAGACGGGACCTGGTCTGAGCGAAGGAGTCATCCAGCTTCTGTGCCAAAACCTGAACTGTAATCCTGAGATTTCCCAGCTGTGATCCAGAAGTTYTTATTTGCACATTAATAGTTGCTGACACATGATCTTGTTTTCTTTGTTCAATCTCAGTACTGTTTTTAGATAGACCTGCGTGGATTTGTGCACATTATTTTTTTAGAAGGATGTTTATTTAAAATGTTTTAAATAAAAATTTCACAAATGACTCATTGTTTCATGTTTGCTTGAGTTACGTCCGAATGTGTTAAATGTATCATGTGCTTAGTTTTTTAGATTACCAAACTGAACCTTATCACCAACGTCCAATCAGGTGTATCAGTTCTGCAGATAACAAATTTGTCAGTGATTTACTGTTGCATAGTTTCTTGTTTTGGAAAAAGAAGAGTTTCTTTCAGGCCTCACAGATAAACATGTAAGAAAACACAAAACCCCTTAACAAATGTGTCACAGTTAAAATGAAAGAGATGTGAAAAATATTAATAGGTGTCCAATCCTGGTCCTGAAAAGCCATTATCCTGTTTTTTTTTTTTTTTTTTGACACCTTATTTTGAATAAAGGCTTCTGCACAAACTGAAGATGTGCTGAAGAGCAGCGAAACCCCTACATCATAGAGGATTGTGGCTGTCTAACAGGATTGGACACCACTTATTCCTGTTTTTCAACACACAAACCCTTGAACTGGACTCAAACATGGTTGAGCAAATCCAGTACAAAGTATGAAAATCATTAATGTGGATCCTATTACAAAGGTTCTCAGACAAATCAAGTTACTCACAAGACTCCATTGTTAATATTGTCCTACCCATCTCTGGACTATGATCAACTTTAAAAAGGCTGTTGTGCAAAATATAAGATCTTGTTCAATCTGTTAGTGTTGAGGATGTGTTGTGAATGACTCAGCTACTACCACACCAAATTTTAGCTCGACAGCTGTAAAACTGGCTGAGCAGGAAGAAAAAACAGAACACAAACAGGTTAATTTGTAACTTTATTGCACAGATAAGTCATTTTCCACATTTTATGTTACAGGCAGCATTTCAAACATTAACACTCAATGGAATGAAGCCATTTGTTCAAGCTTGGTTTAGTGTTTGGTTCACAAATACAACAAACCAACATAGGAAGCATAATAAATACAAGCATAAAGCAAAAGAAACAAAAAGATTAGACAAGTAGCTTATAAATCAGTTAAAAGTATTGTGATGCCAATCCCAACAATGGGGGTAAATGTGCTCAGTGTTTTTTTCCCACCTGCTGCTTGCACCGTGTGATTCATCAAACAGCTCCTGTTAAACTGATATTTGACTTAAAGCTGTAATGATCTTATATAAACCTGCCAGCCACTTATCCATGTTAACACAAATAACTAATCAACCAATCACATGACAGCAGCTTAATGCCTTTAGCCATCTGGATGTGGAGAAGTTCAAACCAGGCATCAGGATGGGGGAAAGAAAGGCAATTGAAATGAATTTGAATGTGGCGTAGTTATTGGTACCAGATCTGGGTTAGAAACAGAGCGATTAAACAGTCGACTGATTTTAATCAACCATATTAGCCACTTCAAAAAAAAAAAAAAAAAACTAACAACCAGCAATACCTGCAGCCCAAGGATGTTCTATACGCAATATGTTTGTTTAAGTATACAAATTATTTTAAGATTAGCTAAAAATACATTAATTTAAATATTGTTTTATTTAGGTAAATGAAAACTACATATTAGCTCTCATAAATCAGTATTATATCAGCCATCAGCTGCTCTGATCTCTAAAAATATGCATAAGCCATGAGTGTTTCAGAAACTGCTGACCTACACAACTATAACTTGAGTTTAAAAGAGAATGGTCTGAATAAGAAAATATCCAGTGTCAGCTGGGTGGATAAAAACACCTTGTCGATGCAAAAGGCCAAGACGGTTGGCTCAAACAACCACGTTACAAACACGTCTGCAAAACAGCATCTCTGAACACACAACACATCCAACCTGAGGCAACAGAAGACCATAGCGGGTACTCGTGTCAGTCAGGAACAGGAAACTGAGAAGACCGTCCACACGGGCTCACCATAACTGGACCATTAAAGATGGTCTGGATTTACTGAACTGTCTTCGCAGCAGAAATCCCCCGAAATGAGTTTTCCTCTGGCTGATGCTGATCTTTAGAAATTAGGGCAACTGATGACTCATACCTTTTGTTTTTGAAATTCTGGCCAATATGCATTTTCCATTCATCAAATACCTATGTGTTTAAAAACACTTGGAGACACTTGGACACTGAAAAAGAAAAAGTGCCAAAAAAAAAAAAAAAACTAAACTGTAAATGTGTTGTCACAGTTGCTGCAGTTTCATCTTCATCCCTGGTAATTAGTTAAAATATACAAAAGCATGGCTGATTACAGATTTTTTTTAAAGTAACAAATGTCGGCCAATTAATGGATCTAGCTCTCCTTCGCAGTCACCAGATCTCAATCCAGTCACCTCTGAGACGTACTGGAACAGAATATTCACATCAGCAACTGTGATACTGTTATGTTCATAGGGAGCCACGTCTGAGGATTTGTTTTTTCACTTGCTGTCACAAAGTATTTTCAAGCAGTCCTGATGGTAAAAGCAGGTACAACCCAGAACAGTGGAGCTAATAAAGGGGCCAGCAGAGGTCTAGTGTCAGCAAACCAGGTTCTAACCCTCTCATATATGATCAGAACACTGTGATCAGAACCTTGTGATGATTTCAGCTGCTGTGCAAACCTGAGCCTCTGTAGTGTATCACAGACGGGTTTGAAACAGGAGACGTACTTCCTGTATCCTCCAGTCACTGTCAGGAATGTTTTATTGTGTTCCCTCACAGCTGGGAATGTTTCATGTTAACTTTACATAATGAAGTTTGATGATGACTTCAGTCACTAAAGCTGAATAGGCCGAGCCTGTTGGTGAACARCATTCGAGAGGAAGTCTTCAAAATGTTTGCAGAGTTTGTTTTGTTTCTGTCGCAAAAAGCAGAGGCCGTCAGTCTCGTCACTTAAAGGCACAGTGTGTAGGATTTTGTCAATTCTTTTAGCCGAAATTTAGACAATCACTAATGACAATAATAAAAAACATGTCCAATCATTGCAGACAAAGACCTTGTTGTATTATTTTTATCTTATAAAAAGCTGTTTATATCTCCATGGTTGCGGGTCRCCACAAAAGGCAGCCGCCATCTTGCACCACCATCTTGTCTACGAAGGCTCATGAAGGACAAACTGCGGTGGCGGCGTCAAAAATGGTTTTAGTTGTTATACTATAAATGTAATATTTGTTGTCTGTCATTGTAGCTGGGATAATTTTACTTATTAAAGCTCATAATCTTACCACTTGAAACATCACTAGCCCTGAAG